CTTTGTAAATAGCATAAGACCTCATACCTTTCACAGCTTGGACAGGTATGTCATCTCTCCAAGTCTCAATTTCCTCAATGTAAAATGAGAGTAATACCAAGGTTCTGGTGATCACAAGGCCTGACAAACTTAAGGCGCTTAAAGTTGCTTTTGGTCATGGGTAGATTTTATTTATTTATTTATTGAAACAACATGCATATTTTAATATCAAATTTAGATGCCTGCATGTTTGGGAATAAACCTCACAAGAATAAACCACATGACCCCTATGAGAGGTTTTAGATACACACAGATCATATTTCAAGGTGGGAGTTGATGATGTTTTAAAGATGATGTTTTAAAGAGACTTGCTCCTCAAGTCATATTATATATTCAATAATTCACATATTTTGTTATTGTGAGATTCATTGTTACTTTATTATTGGGAAGAATCTGTCAGTTTCTGCTGTATCACGCTTTTTGGTCATGGGTAGGTTTTAAATTAAGTTAATTATTTTATATACTCCTGTCAGGTAAATGTTCAAAACTCAAAAAAAGGTAAATAAAAGGGACTTGAAGACCTTAGTAGGTGAAAAGATAGGCTTACTAGGGTCTCTGTACAAAGTTTCAAAATTAATGAAGTAACATGAAGATGTGACTATGAAAGTGATGTACCATTGTTAACTTTGGAAAATATTCTGAAGAGACGAAACAGAAAACCCAACATGTCAAAAAGTCCAATTTCAAAAAGATGGATGCCAGACACTTCAGACACACTGGTTAGATATGGATTCCTGAAACATTCTAGAATAGATCATTGAACAGATGGTTTGTGAGTCTGTAGAAAAGAACACAGTGATCACTGAAAGCCAGCATGAGCTCACAAGTAACACTGTGAAGCATAAGCATTGTGCTGTGCTCATTTTTTTTCTCAGAGTATAGGATCATCACAACAATCACCAAAATACTGTGGGAACAGTATAACTTGGTTTCAGCAAGACTAGACTGTGAGGGAAGGAGAAATATGGATTGAATGAGAGTAGAAATACTGCATCTGTAAGATTTCTAATGGAATCCAATTCCATCCTGTGTATTGTGTTTAACCCAAGACTTGCATAAAGATTAAGGATATATATGTAAACATGTATGAAGATGACACATTTATACATGTGTCATGTATGGGACACATGTATAGGTTGGGAGGAATAGCCACATAATATCTGAAATATTTCAAGAGACCGGAAACATGGACTGAGCTCAATCAAGCTATTCATTTGGGCCCTTGTCTAGTCAGATGGTGATTCTATGGAATAAACCTGGGATTTTAATTACCATGGTGTAGGCATGTAGGCATGGTATAAGCCAAAGATGTGACAAAACTACTGAAAGAAAGCTGCTTTGGTCACATGGAGCTGCATTATCAGTGACCTGGGCGGTGTTGGGTATGTGGCATTTAGAGGCACTGTGCTTTGTTTACCTTTACATCCATGCTCCAGGATTGCAGCGATGGGGGTGGGGGTGGAGGGAAAGAAGGGACAGAAGATCATTCAGCTGAATGAACAAATAAATTCTGCTGAGGTCATGTGGCACATCGACAGCACAGCCAGGATCCAGCCCCAAGTCTGTGCGACCTCTTGACCTGTTGAACCATTATACCACTGTCCAGATCCAGGCCTCAGCCCACACTCTTTCATCAGAGATATGCTTATTCTCAAGGCCACATGAGAAACTGCTGAAAAGCCAGAACAAATCAGCTTGGAGAAAGATGGAGGAGGGAGACATGATGAAGAGTGAAAGTGTTATAGGACAGGGAGAGGGGCAGCCCAAACCCCGCAAACCTGCCTATTCTAAATGGGTTTTGCCATCCGCCGCATCAACACAAAACATAGGAGACTTTAATGGGAAGGAACTTTAATAAAACTAGGAAACAATACAGGTAAGGCAAAGAGTCCAGTTTCTAAATGAAGCATCCAGAGTTACCCGTCCCCTCGTGGGTAAAAGTCCATCCATATGGGATTGGCCCAGAACAAGGCCCCAAAGCCTGCCACAAGTCTAAAGCATCTTCCAGTGAGGACCCATAGAAAAGGGTCAGAAACTACCAGACAAGCCCTGAAGGAAAAGAGCAAAATCAACATCAAGATAAAAGCTGCCACTGTCACCTCCCCACGGGTCTCACCCACATCTGTGTCACCCAGTCCACGACCAAAAGACAAGCACAGTTTCTTCACGTGTCTCTAGGCTCCACGCGCCTCCTCCAGGTCTCCTGGCTCCATCCTGCTTCCTTCCTCAGCCTCTTCTGCAGGTTCTCTCCCTGCTCAGCTCCACCCTCTTGGGTGGGGCAGGGAACCTCCCCCTTTCCTGGGGACCACCCTGTTACAAAAGCACTATCACTTATCAGACCTCTTTGGGCAAGGTCCTGGCTCACCTCTCAATCTTACTCTTATCCATGTCCCCACATGTGTTCTCTTTCTCACCAAAACCAATCCTATTGATCTACCAACAGTTGTCTGAACCTCACTTTGAAGTACATCTGTTGTTTGTCCTCACAGTATCCCCTAGTCAACTCTACTTTGTCCTATAGACCTCAACACCTTCTGAGAGGTTACCTCCTTAGACCCACACTTGGCTCTGAGTTCACCATCTGATGCAAGGTGGGGGAGGGGAAGGGGAGGAGAGGGAATGTCCACTGAAGCTCCTGCAAAACCTATATATATATATCTTGTTTCATAATGGAGTCTTTAATTCACTAACTCTGAGAATGAATGAGTCACAAACAAGAAAGGATATTTTAATGCCCCCTATAGATAGAAATATATTGTCAAAAAATAATTTAACAAATCTAAAATGACTAATAGATACTTTTATCAAGAATTCAGTTTTGTTTTCCAGAACCTCTAAAACTTCAAGGCAGTGGTGTCCATAACCCAGGACAGAATGAAAACATGAGCAGTGCTGTGAGCAGCATGACACCATTTAACAGTCATTTTCCACCTTCATTTCCAATCAGATCAATGGGCTATCTAGCTTGATTGTACTCCGTGTCTTCTGAGATGAGGTTCTTTATTTTTAAAAGGCCCAAATCAGTTATGAATTGCAAATTAAGAACTATGAAAGTGTGTGACTCAAAAAAGGGGAGGGAAATCTGACAAATTAGTTTGAGAAAGGATCACCACCCCATTTTTAGAGTTACCCAAGTGACACTATATCAGAGGAAAGGGTGTTTTTGTGGAACTAATTTTTTTTTTAAATATTTATTTATACAAGCACTGGGTACAGTCAGAAGCATGGGAGGGTGAGAGAATTCACCAGAGCCAGAGCAGGGAACAGAACAGGCAGACTGACAAAGTACACTGCTGAGGGGAGCAGGGGGTGGCAGGAGAGGTCTGCGTGCCATGTGGGACCCTCGCCGGTGGTTGCTATAGAGGCTGCGGACAGCTTCAGCCCAGTGCTCAACTGCTGCACTACTGGGGAGGCCCCTGTGGAACTATTTATTCATTAAGATCAAATCAATGAAATGTCAAATTCTCTACCTGCCTTTTGGTGCCCCCTGTAGTGAGGACATAGTTGGCAGAGAAAATGCCTCCCTAGGACCATCCACTATGAGGCAATGCCATGAGTGTCCACCTCCAGAAGGTGCCTTTATTTGGTCTATGCTTTGTGTTGCCGGAATAGCTTGGTCTGTTATAAAGTAAATCCTGAAAGGCAAGATTAAATGGACCCTGCTACCCAGTGTTACTGGACAGTATTCTGTTTATAGTACTGGGCCTGTGGTCAGCCAAGCCTTCTCAGAAAAGCCATACATGGTATGATTTTCCTCTACCCCCCTCATTCAAATGGTCATTTCATGGACACTAAACAGCAAGCTTTATAAATAAGTAGAAAGGGGGAGTTGGAGATGTTAGAAGGGATGTAAAGATGAGTGTCTTCTACTCTACAAATAGAACTGCGCTCAAAATCTAATTTTAGCCGTTAGTCCCAGAGTAGACTGGAGAGTAAGGGGTGGGGGGAGGGTGGAAGGCAGAAATTAACTACCTTTTTGATGCAGCTGCCGATGTCCTGGGATTTCTTAGGTGAGCTTTCATTTTTCTTTGTAACCTTGTCCCATGGCTACCTCTGTCCAAGACAGTCTTTATAATGTGTCTATTCTACTACTTCTGTTTCTAGGAGTTGAAAGTGACCTTCAAAATGATGAAAAGCTTCCTTCAATACTATGCTACAAAACTAGCAAACACTTTCTCACTACATTCCCTATATACTGTAAGGAAGATATTTTAATTAAAATATTTCCTCCTTGTAAGTAGGGGCATAACTTCTGCTCACTTTACAGCTCCCAAATCACCATCCACCTTTAAATTGTGTTTAAAAAAAAACCAACTTTATATCAAACCAGCATCTATGCTAATGCAACTTATACCCATTGCTCCTGATTTTGTTCCTCATCCAGTGTCTCGCCCATGACTTTCAAATATTCACTTTTGTTCTGCTTTCCTTTCAGCTCTTTCTACCTTTATGATTTTGACACTTCAACAAGTTGACCACATGATACTCATACTCCAATTTGTCTAAGTCCCTTTAAGCTGGAATCCAGTAAATGGATTGTGAGCTATGAGGATCTTCGTCATTAAACCACCGTCCAAACAGCAAGCACATTAGCGGATTTGTCTGTGCCATCCTCCTTGGCCATAACCACAGGGCAGACTGCAGCTGCTCAGATAAGCACTGGTTGGTGGTGTTCCCTGCACTAAATGTTGTAGCAGGGACCAGTAAGACAAATCCGTTCAGCAAGGCCACAACCTTAGAGATGAGTTTGTAAACCTATAGGTAAATTCAAATAATTTTAAGGTAAATTTGAATTCTGTCAAAGCCTACTTAAACAGAAGAGGCTCTTGAACTGCTGCCATAGACTTGGAGTTGATCAAACACTTGCATTTGAGCTGTAATAATTTAAACCATTGTGGATTATCTATATTGGTTGTGAATAAAACAATTTGGCAAACCCCTTCCAAACTCCATATTCCAAGTAGTTCAATGCACATTACAGATGTGACTTGAGCTTTTTATTTTCTTCACATTTTTAATTTTATTTGAAGAGGATGACTGGGTCATACTAGACAGACTTAGAAGCTATTATAGAGTTTCAGCATCACAAAAATGCCAAATATGGTATCACTTTTACAGTTAGGCAAGAAGTATTTCAGGAGGGGACAACTCGATTTACATAAACATTCATATACAATAGGTCATTGACTAACAACATTTTGTTCAACATTGTTTTGTTGTAACTTTGATAAGAAAAAAAATTGATTCCCTGCAGGGACAACTATCTATGTGGAGCTTGCACATTCTCCCCATGTCTCCATGGGTCTTCTCTGGGCGCCCCAGTTTCCTCCCGCATCTAATGATGTGCATGTTTGGTTCATCATGCGTCTCAATTGTACCTGAATGAGTGAATCTTGTGATAAAAAGGATGCCCTATAGCCAGAATTAGTTTCCACCTTATACCTGAGCTGCAGACATAGGCTCCAGCCACCTATGGCTTTAAACTGGAATAAGCATGTTGAAAAAAAGAATAAAAGAATACAAATTATCATTTAATATTAGAAGTAGTTTAGGTCTTTATTGAGTGTATGGCATCATTTTTGTGACCAGAAATATACCTAGGAATTTAACTCTTTATAAAAGTGGTTTGTTGCGGATTGGAGTTTTATTATTTCTTTTTAGAAAAGAGAAAATTTACAAGATGCAAAGGTCTTACATAATACATTGTCATTAATGATTGTTCTCTTTACATCTTCACAGAGACCCTGGCTTGACCGGTGCTGGGACGAACAAGGAAAGTGTGAGTGCTATGGGGCCTACCATGGACATGCACCGTGGTGTGAAAGGAGGACTTGAAGACAAATGGTATTGGACCATCTTGTTCTAAAAGCAAACCCAGACACTGTGAGAATTGATAAAGCCTTCCTGTGGCAGAGGCATGTGTAGATGCCCCGCTGCCAGATGCATAGGGCACACTCCTGCGCTGGCGGCTCCCATTCTATTAACCAGAACAGAACAAAAATGGCAACTTCCTTTGGTGCTTATTTGCAGGGCTATTCAGGTTTCCAATTTCTTATTTCTCTTTTCCTTTTCATGATTCAGCTCCAAATTCTTAAAGCAATACAGGTGCTCAGCATCTTTCATGAATTTTTCAGGATCCAGTTCTGTCCAATTATAATGCACTAAAATGAACAAAGACACGTTACTCAAATTTGCAACAAATTTACCTTCAAGTCTTATTCTAACATATGAGCAGGTATAACAAGGTAGGTAAAGTTATCCTTTACAGTTGATACAATAACAATAGTATGACTGTGTTTCACTTTACTGTGAAAAATCTGCCAATTTGTCATTTAAATTCAAATATCTGGGCCTCCTGGTGGCGCAAGGGGTTAAGCACCACACTATGAAGCAGTCCGCAGCCTCTGCAGCACGAGTTTGATCCCTGACCAGTCAGGGAGTAATCCACATGGCGCAGAAGACCTCTCCTGCCTCGCCCGCTGCTCCCCTCAGCAGTGTATTTCGGTCATTCTGCCTGTTCTGTTCCCCACTATGTCTCTGGTGAATCCTCTTACCACCCCCACCGCCACCCACCCCTGCATCTCTGGCCTGTACCCCAGCTCTTGTATGCATAAATAAATCTTAAAAAAAATAATAAATCCAGGTATCTTCTCACCAAAGGGTCTCCAATTTATTAGAGCTTCATTCTTAAACTTCAAAAAGACACCACACCAAACGTGAGAATTAAACAACCCATTTTTAAATGACCTTTGCAACAAATAGAAGTCTCAAGGCAAATTAGAAAACATTTTAAAAAGTGAATAAAAATTAAAACACAAGATCAAAATTTATGATATTCACTTAAGGCAGTGCATAAAGGGAAATCCATAACATTAAATGCATTAAAAGAAGACTGACAAATCAATAATATGAGTTTCCACCTTAAGGAACTAAAAGAATATAAGCAACATAAACCCAAAATGAGCAGAAGGGAATAAAAAAGAACAGAAACTAATGAAATTTCAAACAGCAAAACAAGTGAGAAAATAAATGAATAGATTCATGAAATTGACAAACCTCTTGCGAGACTTACCAAGAAAAAAAAAAAAAAAAGAACATTCAAAGAATAAAAAAGATATACCACAAACAACTTTATGCCCACAAATTAGTAAACATAATGTGATGGGCAAATTCCCTGAAAAAAAAAATATATGAAAGTCTTATTTTCAAATCCTTTCAACAATTTGGAAGACAGAGGGGTGAGAAGACTAAAGAAAGCATAGGGAGAGGGGATAAATTAAGCACTTGTTCTTGAGATATTTTTACAACTACTCAGAGGATTACAAGGTAGATACTTTGTCTAAATTATCCAAGTGTCTTGAGATTCTGAGGTTACAGCAAAAACTAGTTGGCCTTCCCCAGATCTGTGAGGAAGAAATCTGTCATCCAAGAGCTTAACGAAAGTCCAAATATTAACAAAGCTATTTCTATTCCTTCATTTCTAAATTCTAATTGAATGGACTTCAGTAAAGTCAAAGACTGTGCTAATAGCAGTCTGCACACAGTGACACCACAATGCTTCCAGATGCACTCAACACAGGTCATGTTCAGAAAGGGTCATATTATGAGCAGATGCCTTGATGGAATCAACAGTCTTCCACTCCTGAGTCCAGCTGGATATCAAGGACCATGGACTCACAGCAGCAAGGCTAACTGGAACTGCAGCTAGTCCATCATCTTTAGTTCTATCTGGACTCACACAGGGAGTAAAATTTTACCTGCGGTCTACCTTCATGCTCTGAGACATACCAGTCACAGTTTTGAACTACTTCTTAGGAGATAGCTGAAAGACTACCAGGAGGCAGACAAACAACTCAATTCTGGGGATTGTACTATTTCCTTATTTTTTTAAAATTTATTTATTTATGCATACAGGAGCTGTGGCACAGGCCAGAGATGCTGGGGGTGAGAGGACTCACCAGAGACAGAGTGGGGAACAGAACAGGCAGACTGACTGAAATACACTGCTGAGGGGAGCAGCAGGCGAGACAGGAGAGGTCTGCTTTGCCATGTGGGTTGCTCCCTGGTGGACTGGGGATCAAACTCATGCTGAAGAGGCTTCGGATTGCTTCATAGTGCAGTGCTTAACCCCTTGCACCACTAGGGAGACCCCTATTTCCATTTTTTTTAAATGATATCCTCTAATTTCTTTTTTTTTGTTTGTTTTTTTTGTTTTTAAATTCCCAATTTTTTTTTTAATATTAAATTTTATTTTTATATTCCCCCATACAATTGCAAACGCCCCATTCTGACCCCAATCCTTCCCCTCCCGCCCCCCACCCCCCAAAAAGTGTCTCTGGTTCATAGTTTTTTGTTGATTTTGATTTTCACTTTCTTATATTCATTTTCCTGGTCCCTTATTTAAGTTTTCTAGATTCCTGCTATGAGTGAGACCATCCGGTATTTTTCTTTTTCTTTTTGGCTTATTTCGCTGAGCATGATCCCTTCCAGCGCCATCCATGTTGCTGCAAATTGCATGTGTTTATCTTTTTTGAATGCTGAGTAATATTCCATGGTATATATGTACCACATCTTCTTGATCCAGTCATCTATTTTGGGGCATTTGGGTTGTTTCCAAAGCTTAGCTATTGTAAACAGTGCTGCTATAAACATAGGGGTGCAGGTGCTCTTTGGAATTATGTTTCTGTGTCCTTTGGGTAAATACCTAGGAGTGGAATTGCTGGATCATATGGAAGCTCTATGTTTAGTAGGTCCAGAAATCTCCACACAGCTCTCCATAGTGGTTGGACCAGTTTGCACTCCCACCAACAGTGCAGAAGAGTTCCTTTTTCTCCACACCCTCGCCAACATTTGTTGTTGCTAGTTTTTTTAATATGTGCCATTCTCACTGGTGTGAGATGGTATCTCATGGTAGTTTTGATTTGCATTTCCCTGATTACAAGTGATGTTGAACATTTTTTCATATGCCTGTTGGCCATTTGCATTTCCTCTTCAGAGAAGTTTCTTTTTAGCTCTTCTGCCCATTTTTTGACTGGATTATTTTCTTTGTTGTTGCTGAGTCTCATCAGCTCTTTGCAGATTTTTGTGATCAGTCCTTTATCATTAGTGTTGGGTGCAAAAATGTTCTCCCAGTTGGTGGGGTTTCTCTTTGTTTTTGTTATTGTCTCTTTTGCTGTGCAGAAGCTCTTTAATTTGATGTAGTCCCAGCTGTTTATCTTTGTCTTCACTATCACTGCTTTGGGTGATGTTTCTGTAAAGATGTCTTTGATGTGCAAATCCCGTAGTGTTTCGCCTATATTTCCTTCTATGTATTTTATGGTTTCAGGTCTTATGTCTAGTTCTTTAATCCATTTTGAGTTGATTTTTGTGTATGGTGTGAGGTAGTGGTCAAGCTTCATTCTTTTGCATGTAGCGACCCAGTTTTCCCAGCACCATTTATTGAACAAACTTTCTTTGCTCCAATGCATAGTCTTTGCTCCTTTGTCAAAGATTAGTTGACCATAAATCTGTGGGTTTATTTCTGGATTTTCTATTCGATTCCATTGGTCTGTATGTCTGTTCTTGTTCCAATACCATGCAGTTTTGATGATTATGGCTTTGTAGTAGAGTTTGAAGTCTGGGAGTTTGATGCCTCCATTTCCTTCTTTTTTTTTCAGTAGAGCTTTGGCTATTCGGGGTTTTTGGTGATTCCATATGAATTTCATCAATAATTGTTCTATTTCTTTGAAGAATGCCATTGAGATTTTGATTGGAATAGCATTGAATCTGTATATTGCTTTTGGTAGGATGGCCATTTTAATAATGTTTATTCTTCCAATCCATGAGCAGGGGATGTCTTTCCATTTCTTTGTGTCTTCTTCTATTTCTTTTAACAGTGTTTTATAGTTTTCTTTGTATAGGTCCTTTACCTCTTTTGTTAGATTTATTCCCAAATATTTGATTTTTTTGTTTCGATAATAAAAGGGGTGGTTTTTTTGATTTCTTCTTCTTCAGATTTATTGTTTGTGTATAGGAAGGCTACTGACTTTTGCGTGTTGATTTTGTATCCTGCCACTTTACTGAATTGATTGATGAGTTGAATTAGTTTTTCTGTGGAGATTTTGGGGTTCTCTATGTATATTATCATATCATCTGCAAATAGTGATAGTTTGACTTCTTCTTTTCCTATTTGGATTCCTTGGATGTCTTTCTCTTGTCTTATTGCTCTGGCTAGGACTTCCAGTATTATATTGAAAAGCAGTGGTGAGAGTGGACATCCTTGTCTTGTTCCAGATCTTAATGGAATTGCTTTCAGCTTTTCACCATTGAGAATGATACTGGCTGTTGGCTTGTCATAGATGGCCTTTATGATGTTGAGGTATGTTCCTTGTATCCCAAGAATTTCAAGGGCTTTTATCATGAATGGGTGTTGCACTTTGTCGAAAGCTTTCTCAGCATCTATTGATATTATCATATGGTTTTTATATTTCTTTTTGTTGATGTGTTGGATAACGTTGATTGATTTTCGGATGTTAAACCATCCTTGTGCCCCTGGAATGAATCCAACTTGGTCGTGGTGAATTATCTTATGGATACATTGTTGGATTCTGATAGCTAAAATTTTATTGAGGATTTTTGCATCAGTGTTCATTAGGGAGATTGGCCTATAGTTTTCCTTTTTTGTGTTGTCCTTATTCGGTTTTGGTATTAGTGTAATATTGGCTTCATAGAACGTGTTTGGTATTGTCCCTTCCTTCTCAATTTTTTGGAAGAGTTTGTGAAGGATAGGCACTAATTCGTCTCTGAATGTTTGGTAGAATTCATTTGTAAATCCATCAGGCCCTGGGCTTTTGTTTTTGGGGAGGTTTTTGATTACCATTTCAATTTCGCTGCTTGTAATTGGTCTGTTTAGGTGTTCTATTTCTTCTTTATCTAGCTTTGGGTGATTGTAGAGTTGTAGGAATTTGTCCATCTCCTCTAGATTGTTGAACTTGTTTCCATATAACTGTTCATAGTAGTTACTGATTATTCTTTTGATTTCTGCTGTGTCCGTTGTGATTTCTCCTCTTTCATTTATGATCCTGTGTATTTGTGCTTTCTCCCTTTTTTCCTTTGTGAGCCTGGCTAGGGGTTTGTCTATTTTATTTATTTTTCCAAAGAACCAGTTTCATTGATCTTTTGG